TTGAGTCATTTTTATTTTACTTGACTGAATCAGCCTGAACCTTGTCTTGCATGACTTACTTATTTATAGTTATGCTGATCAAAAGTGTGTTTACAGTTGATCTAAAGGTACGTGTGACTCCAGCTTGAACACTGATATGACTAAGACAATGTCAAACAATGAGTGTGTTGTTTAAAACCAGCATGCTGTGATTCCATCATGCCCAACAGTGTGTTGATATTCAGGGACTTATCCCAAGGGATGGCCAGGAGTGGTATGCACCACTTGAAATCTAATTGGCCACCTCAGGTGCCACCTTAAAAAGTCTTACTATATTTAAAGTTTACATACACAGTCAAATCGAGCTGCGATCCTAGCCCAATGAGGCGAGAGTTAACAGAGCCACAGTTAACAAGCAGTGGGCAAGAATCAAATTATTGACAGAAGCATGTCCACCTCTGCTGTGGTAGGTGGCGACATGCCTCCTCCTAGCTCTTTTCCGTTTGGTCATCTCACACTTGACCTTGTACATATTTAAACAGTCGGTAGAACTTGTTAGCAAGAGGCTAACAGGAAATACATGGAATGACAAAAACACTGTCACTTTTACTGCTCCACACCCTTTGTTTATAGGTTTTTGTTTACTACCTGGCTTCCAAGCCCACGTTCATGCTACTGAACTTCCAGCTTAAAGCCTGATGTGCAAACACTGGAGCACATGCAGAACACTGAGGCTAATTTTGGTCTGATAGAGCTGATAGTACAAATGACAGAGAAAACTAGTCATACTAACCTGTTTACGTTTTTCTTAAAACATCAAACAGAAAGGTAGACAGTGTGCAGGTGTAGGCTTGCGCTAATTTGAGTAAATCTGGGTTTTAGACAAATTTCTTCTGTCAAGTCAATGACAAATTAAGCTTAAGACTGTTGGTGTGACCATGCAGACTTAGAAACGAGTATACAGAATAATATAACTCATGTATCATACTTAAGCCTAAGTAATCTAGGTCATTTCGAATGGTGGAGAAATGACTCACTCAACTCACTCAACCCCTTCAGCCAGGCCACCCCAGTCTAAAAAAAGTCTTTATCACTTTATCATTTTAAAGCTTTATCAACCACTTAAACTACAACTAGGCTTGGACCCAACTGCTACCAAGCAGCTCAACCATTCTCTATCACTAAAAAGTTCCTTTTTGATAAGTTCATATATCTGCATATTTCCAAGTACTACACAAGCAGTGAAATGAGAACTTGTGATTTACATATACCAGCTTGACCAGTCAAGGAATACATTGTCCACCATATGAACTGGCAGTGATCAGTCCAACTAAGGAGGTGTGGGACACAGAATGAAGCTCTATATGGAAAGTCTCATGTCAAATCAAATTGTTTGGTTTAAGATTTGTCAACGTTCATCAAGTTACTCACAGCCCTTATTTTCACTCATGATCAAAGGGTATAGTGGTTAATAAATGACAGATAATTGCTGTTGCAGCACATCGTTTCTTCTCCATTCAGGGCACATTAGCATTCTTTTTCCCTTTTTAACATACAGAGGAGCTGCTGTTTTTTGTGGTGATGAGACGGTCTCATTGAAGTGTCTGACCTCTGTTCCTGACTCTCCTCTGGAAGTTTGAGTCTGATCTTTATGACTAAGCCCTTCTCCATGTTTGGACATGGGTGTTGCCTTGTAATTACTTCAATCGGAAAGATAGCGTGAAAAGGACTGGTTTGACTTGTATGTATGGGGGAGGTTACAAACAATGGACACTTATATCCCTGAGCTTTAAGGCTTTTTAAGTCTTCACCATCATACCAGTGTTGCCTGGCGGGATGCATGACTCCCCCCCCTGCTTTTCATCATTCCTCTTTTCTCCCTCTCAGCAGCACGTGAGCCAGTGGCTCCAGCAACACCCTGTGACCTGTTGAGTGTATGACCCTTGGTGACCCTTGCTGAGGATGAAGTATGATTAAGTTTTAACAACCCGTTATGCTATCCTTTAAATCTCTTGAATTATATTGAATATTAGTGCAGAGGAGAATACTTTAAGAGAAATGCAACCAAGCACAGCTTACAAAGCTGAACCCAACAACCTTCATTTTCACCCCAGATGAGGATGTTTACAGTCCTTTTTTTCTTTTCTGACAGTGGCACCTTCTTAGCTCCAAACAGGGCCACTCTGAAATAGGTTTCCTTCCTTTTCTGCTACCCTTTGCTGAGGGTAGAGAGGTGAGTATGGGGAGGGGGGCTTCACAGATTCCCCTGTGCGTTGGACTTGAAAGTTTCTATCTCTGTGAACTTAACATCAAACGGTCACAGGCTGCTGCTGGCCCTTTGAAGTGGCAGAGAGGGGGTATCAGGGCTGAATGCAGGCCTCTGCCTCGACATGTTCCTGTTCAAAATGGACTCCGACATGGTGTTAAAAACAGCTCCGCTAAAGGTCCTTAGAGAGTGGCTCAAGATCAAGGCTAAGGACTCTCAGTCGCCATCCCTGACACATGATGAAGGATCTATAGACTCCCGACAGTGTCATACTCATGTTTACTGAAGTCACACTTTTACACAGCTGGTTTTCCAGCTTTTTGGAGCTGGTTTGGGTTTGCTTTATTCCAGGCCTGAGACAACAAAAAGCAGCCTCTCACATTATACATCTTCTAATTCCTCTTGTAATAACAGCTAGCATACTGCCATACCATTACCAAAACACTACTGCAATACCACTACAACTTTTACCACAACATGCTGGTTAGACTACAACTATTAGTTCACAGACATTATCTAGAGTTATTAACTGTATGACAAACTCTGGTCTATTACTGTTAAAAAGCTAAACAGATCTGTCAGTTAAAGGCATGGGTGACGATTGGCAAAGCAGTTGAAAAAAACTGAGCTGTTGGGGCAGATTTGAAAAAAAGCTTCCCACCCTCCACACACTAACCTCTCCCCTCTGTGCTCCACGATAACTCCCCCCCGAACCTGTATCGCCCTCCCCACGACACACCCCCTCTGGCAGAGCAAGAAGCCGGCTGGCAGAAGATCCTATGCTAGCTTCAAATATGATTCACCATGTCAGATTGCTAGTGACTAGCGGCAGTAAATGCCAGCTCTGCCAGCGAGCACCGTCTGCAGCTGCCTGGACAGCTACTGTGTTGACATTGCAGAGACTAATGAGAGTTATTTATGTAACATGTGCCACAATAAAAGGCAAACATTACCTGTTCAACAAAAACTCTGCTGTCTCAGTGTCTGTTTTCAGGTCCAAATCCTGGCGGAGCTTTCTCCACCGCTCAAGGGATAATCCGATGTTTATTCAAGTTAGATTTCTCACTTGTCACATATCCTATTTGTCTCTGCCCTTTCTTCAGTCAGCTTGCGTGTTCTTAGCACTTTTGGTAATGGGGCAAGCAGAAGTTTTTTTTTTTTGCGTGCTTCTCCAACACAGCTCCTGTCACTGTGCCGCTACGCTACTTTTAGCCGCTCAGAGCTCCAGGAGAGCTGGGATAGTGGGAGGGGACGAGTCGGAACTGCAGGAGAGGGGTGTGTCGGATACAGCGAGGTGATTGGATGGAGAGGTGGAACAGGAGATTGACCAATAGGAGCTGTCCGGGACGGATGGCTCCCATTGGTCAATGTTCTCCATCACAGCTCCTGTAGCTGAGCCGCTATGCTATTTTTAGCCGCTCAGAGCTCCAGGAGAGCTGGGATAGTGGGAGGGGACGAGTAAGACCTGCAGGAGAGGGGTGTGTCGAATACAGAGAGGTGATTGGATGGAGAGGCGTAACAGGAGATTGACCAGTAGGAGCTGTCCTGGACGGATGGCTCCCATTGGTCAATGTTTTTGCAGCCCTGCACCTGTTATGGTGAACGGATTTTTTCCATTCTTTTTTCTCTTCACTTTGTGGAGATCGCACTATAGGACCATGATCGCCATATAAACGAGGTTCATAATAATTACCAATCTCTCCAATCGTCAACCATGCCTTTAAACGTTACTCAGCTGTCACAGTCTGCGCTGGAGTCCCTATTAATGTCTGTATAGAGTAAATATGCACTCGGTTTAAGTGCATTGTCTTTAAAAATCCGTAGCATCTTCAAACACCTATACAAAAATCATTTTCTGTTCATTTAGCCATTTTACCATCACACCAAGTACGCACTCATTGTAGAGTTTATCTGTGTTAAAATATGCTCTGAGAGAAAATGCATCTTGCTCCATGTATGTCTCCTGCTTGCAAAACGTAGTTATCCTTGCATTACTGGTACTTCAGTTAAGTATAAAGAAATATCAAGTATTGTTGGTGATCTGGTTTAACTAGGCATCATGAGTGACACTTTATTTCAAAATCAGTTATAAACTCTTCACAGTGCCTTTGAACAATCTCATCTGATTTTTTACTAGTTCTCATCCCGATGTCACAGAGCGCACACCTTTTGTTTATATATTTCCTTACAAACACACTTTGTTTCTTTTATGTAAAATTATTCATTGTGAAAGAGACTGAGGGACATTTTGATGAGTGATACCTAATGTGCAAAAAGGTTAAAACTTCATATCTTTCAAGTTTTGTATATTTTACCCTTAACAGCTATACTTGAGTCTTGCACACTAAGTTAGCCGTCTACTTTTAGTGTGATATGATCACAGTGACAGGTGCAAATAATAGTCAGCTATTACCAATACCAACATTTCTAGAAACCTTGTATTACTATTCCACCTACTAAAAGTAATCCTTTGGTCACTGTTACTTCTGCTTCAAACCAAAGTAAGGTGGTACATAAAGCCCAAGATACGATTCCTTGTCAAGCAATAACACACGCCTGTGTGTAAAGCAATAACTCTGTCGCAAAAAAAAGTCACAATACCATGTGAAAGTGTGTAAGCCCACTGATGTGTTTTCTCACACTGTGTCACTGACTGACGGGCACAAGGACCAAGCGGACTTCTCAGAAAGAGGGGGGCCGGGCTCTGGTTTTTCCATCAACAACCATCTACTGACATTGGCCACTGCTCCACATTAAACACCCCGCATTCATAAAAAAAAGAAAAGCGTAGAGGAACCATCTGACAAGAGCAGCATCCACTGGTAGCTGCCTCACTGTTTACTGCTCTCGACTTGTCACCAGAATAGAAAGCCGCTGTACTCTGAGGAAAAATGGCCAAAAGTGAGAGGCAAAGAAGAAGTTTGAAGAGTGAGGAGTTCTTTTTTGATTCCGAAGCGTCTCTCTTGGATCAGCAAGATTTCGAGATGTCTAGCTGTCCTTTCAATGACGTCTTCAACTCCAAAGACTCCCACATGGAGCAGATCAACACTTTTCTGAAAAATGTGCAAGTTTTGCTGGAGGCTGCTCGGTTTCTCGAGAGCGCCGAGCGGAAGGACGGAAGTGAGTTGATTTGTGCTGCGTTTGATCCGTTTCATTTGCCTCTGAATTTCAGGAAAACAAGACTTCATTGTCAACAGACTCAGACAACAAAGAGCTGAGTTCTTTCAACTAAGCACCACTGGCTACAGCCTATGCCTGCACCAGTCTAATACGAATGTTTAAACCATTGCAACAATAGGAGAATATACTCAAAGTGCTAGATTTGCTTTTTGGACTGTTTGACTCGCATTATCCGCATGATAGGAGCTGTGCATCACTTTACGTCCGCTCATCCCTTACCTCTCTATTTTTCCCTGCAGCATAGATGAAGCAATATGACATAATCATTAGGTGTGTGGGTGTGCAGGTTGGCTTCCAATGCGAAATGATAAATCTGGCCACATTGCAGCGCCCTCCAACTCAGTTCAGGATGATGTCATTGTGTCCCCGCGAACACGATCGAGAAGATCTACGAGTTCATAGAGAAAACCAAGAGATCGGGATGCTGAATCGGGATTTTGTTTACCCCCCAAATTTCTCAGTAACAGTTAAAAATAAACGATTAAGCAGATCATTTCAAAGCTTTATGGATTTGAAAGACACAATGCTGGGTTGCAGAATGCATTCACCCTGCGTTCGCAAATAATCCATAGCATCAAAATAAATAACGGAGGATCATTTTGTCGATCAGTGCAATGTCAAATTGAAAATATGCACGCGGTGATTAATGACTCTAGTGTTCTTTGAGAGTTATAACAGGCGATTACAACATTAATTGTCTGTTTTGTCTAGCTGTTGTATGCACATGTTAAGGCAGGGCTGGCGTGCACCAGAAAGTCTAGCACGTGGGCTGCTGCGCGTTGAAAAAAGTCTTTTGATGAATTTCGCTTATGATAACGTTACGTGAGATCTGCAGTAGCTGTTCGCAGCAGCGGCACAGAGCTCTCCCTACGGTTGTTTGCTTCCTGCTATTTGTGGGCGTGTCACACGGACTTCCACATGGCGCAATTCTCTCTTGTGATTGGTGGGTAGTAAGCTCAGCCTTCGACTCGTGTCAAAGCTGTCCTCCAATCAGACATCCTATCGATGGAGACGTCATGTGTTGCTGGGCCTGCCTTCAGCCGGCAAGTCCACGCCCACGTTCCTGGCGAATTGTGGGTCTTGTAGGTTTTTGTGTGTCAAGTGACAGACTGTTGAGAATACAGCGAGAGAAGTGAATAATATATAACGAGTATTTGAGTTTTCTAAGGGGAAAAAAACATCGAAACACTTGAAATCATTCAGTGAAAAAACACCAGGCAGTTAAACCTGTGTCTGATGGTTTTTGCTGCAGTATTTGATAGGCCTCAAAGAACGTCTGTGATAAAATAGTTTTTATCAAACACGAGATTGGAGTTTTACTTTGATTACTACTAATGCCAAACATCTGTAGGGATATCACCAGCAGCTAATACCCCAGTCCAGACAAACGGGACTTCTCACCTTTGCAAAAATGCAACACCTACCATCAGATTTTACTTTTTGCTGAGCTGTCCTTAGTGGAGTCAATTTCAGCCGTTGATGTTCGGGTCCTTGATCTTACTGAAGATTGTCTAAACATTGATTGTAACACATCTTCATAAATTTTATTATTTTTTTTAAATCAGAGAAAGACTCAATTTCCCAGAATGCACCGCGTTCAGACCGGCCTCTCCTCCGCCAGGTTCCCGCCCCTCAGCTGTGCAGCTAGGTAAACAAACAGGAGAGGAGAGGAAACGAGCAGCAGCAGGCACTTTGCTGGCTCTGTCCACTCTCGGGGGAATTTTGTATTGTTTATATTCTTTTTTGTAACATTTAATACCGTGTTTCCTACAAACTTTTAATACTTTACTACACTGGTCTTGACATTTTCAAATTACTAAACAAGGAACGGACTGGATGTGGGTTACACGCTTGGAAAGCTAGGATTTTCCCCTCTACTTTCGTCAAAGGCTGCTTACGAGCCAACGAAGATACTGAACAAGAAAACAACACGACGTTTTTTTCTGTTATTAACAGTGTAATTCAGTGCAGGTACAACTGATGCACAGTCTTCCTCATAATTAAAAGCGACTTGCTCACGTTTCGCTATCGGGGGAGAGAAAAGCTAACGTAAACGGCAGCAGCCTCGGGGAAGAATGACGGCTGTTCAGCTAATCAATATCCAAAGGTTATTGGAGGCTGCGGAGTTTATAGAAAGGAGGGAAAGAGGTAAAACTAGTGTTGTCCATGGATTTTACCCTGAAATGTGACCGTCTGTTACATTATTTTTAGACCGTGGTAAAGACAGTGATGGTCGTCTTACCTCTGTGCTCACGTCAACTTCAGTGTCCTAGGTTAGCCAACTGTTAACCACATATTTTTCTTTCAACAGAGTGTGAACACGGATATGCCTCGACGTTTCCGTCAAACCAGAACACAAACTACCAGAGGCAAAGAAAATTCAGAAATAAGAAGTTTAGCAGTAACCACAATAGGTAAGAACCACGCTTTGTTCCGTGTTTTCCATGAACGCTGTTGCATGTATTTGGTATTTTTTTTATGCTACTTGCTGGTGATTAAACGGCCTTAACTACGACTAAGGCTACAGTGCAATGGAGTGATGAGTGTTGCTGACAGCATGCTATTGTACGTTCACTGCCATCGTTTTATTGCATCGTTTGGTACTCAAAGCTGTCAGGACAGGGTGATTATACTTATAGTCGCTGACATTATTACCACAGTTCAGTTAAACACATATTTATCATTGAAAATAAGTTCCCGGGAGTTATAAGGGAAGTCCCTTGAAGTTGTTGAAACGTGTTTGATGCAAAGGTACACGTATCACCGTCCACAGCTCTGCTCGGTCGGCTTGGGGGAGGGGAAAGCACCAAAGGCTCTGCGAGCTTTTCATCAGCTGATTGTCAAACGGACTGCAGTGGCTGAGGTTAGGGATTGTGTGGAAAGTGTCGGCTTCAAAACGAAAAAAAGTCATCAAGATGTTATGATTTCCGTCAAATATTTTACATAGATAAAGACATATTTCGCTTCATTTTAGACTTGAATGTCTCAGTAGATTTTTTTTGTTGCTATTCTCAGTTTGTCTCCATGCCAAACGTGTTGTTCACTGTGGGAGAGAGCGGTAGTTTTGCCCTGTGCCCTAAGTCTGAAACAGCGGCTATTTATGGCCAGTGTTGTTTGCAGAATACGTGGTGAATACGTGGAGGCTTTATGGGACTTATTCCGTTTAAACTGCTCAACAATTAGTTGTTCAGCAAACAAAACTACATGTGCATTTCTTGTGTTTTTTTAAATTTTTTTTTTGATGCACATAGAAAGCTGTTGACAGTCTGGTCTGGTACTTGGCTGTCTGATCAACACAGTAATATGGTGCATGTCAAACCCAATACCCAAGAAATAGAAGCACAAAATTTTACAACTGACCCCTTAGTGGCACTTTATTTTTTGTTTCAAGGTTGCTTTTATTCGGTTGAGATAAGATAACCCTTTATCCATTCCACATTCAGGAAATTTGCTAATTAATTATTGCAATGAATCCACGCATTGACTGACATACATCAAACCCAAGCCTCACTCACACACACTCTTTCTTTTTGAGCCTGTTAATATTAATGTAAGAGCGGGCCACAAACAGGAACTGCGCATTACTCATCATGAGCATAGAACACTGCCTAGTTCTGCATGGCAACAGTCATGATCAGATATGGGTCGGAGGCTGTATTTATAGAGCTTTTGAGGAGTTCCTGCATTCTATAAGGGTTATTCTTTGACAAAACGTTAGTTAGTTTTTCAGTGCGAAAGAAATCCTACATAAAGCTGAAGCTTTTCAATAACATCTTGGCCCTGTGCATTTGTAAAATGATTGTCACAGGTATGAAAGTAAATGACACCCAGGGTAGTTGTGTTTTGTCCTCCTCCCTGTAGAGACACATTCACAACTCACTGAGTTAGGCAACACCATTTCTTATACATAACCCCTTTCAGCTTCATGCAGCTTATTTTTTATAGTTGTGCACACCTTGACAGCCATGGACTAACATTATTTTGATATCCCCTCATCTGTGAAGGTTATTGATGGGTCACACATGTATCTGTTGGGGTCTGCTTGTATTTAACAATTAGATTTATCCTTTTGCTAACACGTGTAAGAAATGTTTTCAGTTTGAAAAATTCATGAGAAATTGCGATACCAGATTAGAACCTCCACAGAGGGACTGACACATTAACCAGATATGGTACAACACGTGAGACTTTTCTTCTATGAGGAAGAATGAATATTTAACCAATGAAGATGTCTAAAAAAGATCAACAGTCACCAAAATGTCTTTCCTTTGATGATCACTGTGAGGACACTCAAAAGTCAATGTTGACTTTAATTTGGTGATGATTAGATAAACTGTAATAGAGTATGTTAAACACAGTTAGCAGTCGAGCAGGTGCATGCATGCTGCAAAAAGCAGCTAACTTTACTGTAGGATGTTGAGGCTTTAAGTGATGGGCTTATCTTACTCTGTCCTCTCTGGTATACTGTTTATAGCAGGCTAGCTTTATCTCCTTGACCCACTCTGTGTGAGCATATATATATGCGCACACACAGATGCAGACATGTGCACTAAAGACATTCACACTTTACAGGAGGGACACTACTTCACTTGTTTGTGTCCTTGAGCCAGTTTTTAATCAGTATTGCATGATTGTTGAACTATGGATGTATCAGATATTCTGAGGGGGGTTACAATGATAGATGTTGCAGAAAGTGAGCTTGCAGCTTGTATATATTGAGCTATTAGAATTTAAGGTCATACTGAGAACTAGTGTATGGTTCTTGATTGCAGGAAGCTTGATCAAGGAGGACCAAAGGCCTGTATCAAATCGCTGAGTAAGAAAAGCTGTAGAGGTTTTTGCACACTGTGTCTGTTTCCTCCCCTAAAATAGTTTTAACTATATACAATTCTTCTTCTTCTTCTTCTTCTTCTTCTTCTTCTTCTTCTTCTGTCTTCACACATTTTTGATTATACATCCCTGTCTGTGTGTCCCCACCTTAAACATACTGCTAGCCTCTGTTCAGGATTAATTGCTCCCAGGAATTCAGGGATTTTCTTTGAGCGTGTGGTTTCAGTGTAACTTAAAGATTATCATACTGGGCTGCTGACATTCTGAAACATATCGAAAAGCAACAGGGATAATATCATAACTCCTTGATTAGTAGATGAAATGCTTGTTGAATCCCGTGTTGTTGTCAGTAGTGGATTGACCCCAAGTTAGTTTGTGGAAGTAACACAAAATTGTGCTCACTTTTTGATGATTCCTGTTTTTTTTGTCTGGTCCTGCAAATTTTTGCTATGAAAAGAAAAATAATGCATTAGACTCAGTGTGCAAAGTTTTGAAGTATCAGAGTTTTTATCAGACTTTTCTATGCACCCTTGTTGGAATTTTTGGATTGATGGAGTCATAACTGTTAGGGGTGGAAACCACTAGTGGCCCCACGATACAATACTATCACGATACTTGGGCCACGATACGATATTATTGTGATTTTTAACATTTTGCAATACAGTGAGTATTGTGATACAAAATATTGCATTTTAAACATTTTTTCAACTGTTAAGCAAATTTAGCATTTTTCTTTCCTTTGTGTCTGTCTTATTTACGCTGTATTTTATTTTCATGTAGCACATCTTGCAAACCTTTTATATTTGTTTCACTAACTTTCTCCTGCTCTATGATGTCATCTCTGCCAACCTCACTGGACAAACAGTTGATTTTATTTTTCCATTGTCATAGATTTGACTTCATATTATCAACTAAGTTAAAAAATCGGTATTCGGTAAATGAGACGATACAATATATCATGAGACAAAATATCCCTAAACTATGCTGTATCGATTTTTTTCTCCCACCCCTAATTACTATCCAGTCTCTTTCTGTGTGATGACTGACTGTATGGGCTTGGATATGTTTGCCAACCATAGTCTGCATGGCATCCTGTCCTTTGATTTCCTGCAGTCATTTTCAAGATGAGACAGTCATTTCGCAGTACATTGATGTGGCAACACTTGTTTTAGACTATAGTAACAAATAGGCTTTTATCTTCCCAAGAGTTGTAATCAGACAAAAAAAAAAAGCCAACAATTACATTTACACACTAGACTGAATGTGATTGTGGTGAAATGCTCTGAGTTTGGAGAAGATTGCAGATCTGGATGAGGGTTCCCAAGCAACACCAACAGCGCAAGCACAGTGACAGATGATAATGCAGATTTTATGTACTCCTAATTATGGCTCTTCTTCTCCAAATGATTGTTCTTCTCTTATTAAAACTACTGCTCTGTCTCACAAACAATTACAAAAATCAGTGGGCCCAGCAGCTTCAGAAAGTAATTAGATGTGTCTACAAAAGCTGCTTCAAAACCAACACTATAACTACCAGTTTGAGATGACAGTTATGAGAGTAGAAGTAGTTAAACAGACGGTTTGGTGTGACTGGTCGACTGAGGCATAGCGCAGCCATGCATGGCTCTGACGGGTTTGCAGAATATGTAAGGTGAGAGCTGTCAAAAGCATGCGTGTGAGCACTTAGGCTCTCACAGGTTTTCAGGAAATGGCTCAGGCAGGCCAGCTTCCTCATGAGTGTTTGCTGTGATAGCAGCCACTCAACCTGGCTGTAGACCCTGTCATGTTCAATCAAATGCGCTGCCAGAGTTGGCTTCATAACCAGTCTTGCATGCACAACTACATGACCAGTAATGTATTCAGATAGACTAATAGAGACATATGGTGTTTTTATTGGTGTAAATAATTTAACTTAAATATCTATGACCTCTAAGGGGGGGGCACATTTTTTACAGACTGAACCACAGCTTTGGATAGCCCCTCCTTTCTTATCTGCTGTTGTCCGTATTTCCTGTTTCCTCAGGCGGCAGCTTTGTCAGCTGAGCCTGATTTTAAAGAAAAAATATGAGAAGAGCATATTGCAGTATTGATAACCAGCTGTAAACAGAAGGGCTGCATACATGACTTAGAAGAGGTGGAGTGTATCACCGTCTACTCAGATGTGTGCACCTCGAGGCGAGGTGGAGTGTAGTGTGTGTGTAGACTGGAACTTAGCTATTGAAGCATCAGGACTAGAGCCGGTTGCATCCCTTCAGCATGTTGCCACACAAAGAGACTCTTAGGAACCAGCTGATTCACTTTACATTATTAACAGAGCACTGAGCCCTGGCTGCTGCATGCACAGGAGGAGTGTGCATGTGTATGTGTGTGTGTGTGTTTGTGTGAGAGTGTGCATGCTTACATTTGGCCAGCAGCACATGTACATACACTCTCACACACAGTATACTCAGAGTTGTGCGTTGCATTATTAAAAAAAGAGGCTGCATAATGTCATAGTTAGGTTTTAGTTGTTGTCACGGTGATATTTATTGGAGTAAAGGCTCCATCCAGTGCACTGAGCCTCGAGTCGGTCTCATTGGGTAACATTCATAAATTGGTAAATCAAAGTTGACAGGGTCATTCCTGATGACTCTCTTGGCCCCTGATTGTCTAGCTCATATATTGACTGTCATTTGCTTGTTGATCATACTAAAGTCTGTATTTGCTTTTTATTTGACAGCTTGTTATTTTCTGTCTTTGCAGGTCCACACATAATGAGCTGGAGAAGAACAGGTGAGTTTGCAGTTTTCCCTCTATGTAAACATCTCAGCAAAAAAAAAAAAAAACTCTCTTAAGGCACAGCCAGCAGACACATGCTAACCCTGCCATGACATGTGAACAGGTTCACCTCGTCCTCCTTTTATTACCCCCCATGGTTTTGCCCTTTTTGTCAAACAGGCACTTCCTCTTCAACAGGTCCTTAAAACAAAAGGTAGAAGGTGACCCAGTTCTTTTCAGTAAAAAGACATTCACTTCTCCTTTTTCATCACCCTGTTCCCCTCACTTCTCATGTGCACACAGTTTGATCGCCTGGTTAAAGTCCCTGGGTTGTGGTGCAGCCGCGTGCAGTCAGGCAAAGCTGAGTCAAAAGTTCAATGTTTGTTGTGATGCTGAGATGTTTCTTTGATATAGTGGCAGTCAATTCAGCTCTATATCCAACACAACGCTCATAGAATTCAAGTCCATACACAGTTTTACGCTGAGTTATATCTCTGTGTTCAGGATAGTGTGTACAGTTGGTATTCAGGGAGATCTGAGCTTGTGACGTTTAACCACACGTCCTCTACTTGGAGCCGACCCCAGTTTTCTAAGAAGCCCTTATCAGATTGAGTTCACCACCCACATTGAGCGCTTGCTGTTGTTTATGCTTTGTGACTTTGCAACCTTCTTGAGTCATGTTGTAAAGGGGTTTCTTTGACACCGTAAATAAGAGTGGCTAGACCCACAGGATTTATGGTAAAAGAAAAAAAGAAGCCTGCCTTCCATTTCATTATCTCTGAGGGTGTGGGCACAGTGAAAAGATGTGGGAGGCTGGATCCATTCAGCGTAATTACATATCACCTCAGCCTGTTTTTCTCACCATTCTCTCTGGCAGCCTCTTCTAAAAGGATGAGAACATTGGAAGAAGAGGCGTCCAGTGAGTTAAATTTAGACAGGAGTTGATGTGTCATCTTGGTGCTCATATGTGATGCCACACAAGGCCAGCCAGTCGGCTGACTGGCCTCGGCACTGATGCGGGGCCACATTTTTACAGTGTACCACCCACACGAATGCATTTCAAAAAATGCTCCGATGTTTGTTCCTACAACAGTGTGAAGGCTGTTTTCGTCACTCTCAACACATTCTTGCAGCCAGCCACTTTATAGTACGGCCTGTTCCTGTGGCCATTTAAGGCCTACAGTCATCCCTCCAATCAGAGCTGACTTGTGTAAAATGCGTAGGTGGTTCAACAGAAGGGATCAGTGCTGTCTTGCTGTAGCACTGATTTGTGGTTCATGCAGTGCTGCTTTTGAATAATAAAAATGATAACTTTATGACAGGGAATAAAACTCCATGCATAAAAGCGAAAAAGTGACCGCAAAAATGATTTACACGCTCTTTTATGAACAGACTCCTATCATAAGTATAACACCACTGAAACTTGCATCCTCTGCCTCCTCCTTTTCCTGGCTCCACCTTGCTGGTCCATGCAGACTCATAAAGAGAACAGCAGCTAAACACAGGGGGCTGGGAACAGGCCGTCCTGTACCACACCACTGTACTAGATCCAGATAACACCAACACCCTTTTCTTGTTTCCCATTCTTGTTTTCATTTCCAGCTGGGCATAGTTGTTGTTGCGTAGCTGTCAACTTGCACTAGTTAAATGTGAATTTCCATTAGCAAAGAAAGAGGGCAAAATTGAAATGGTAATCCATCTTTTTAGAGACACACTTAAAGTCCGAATCGTTTATAATCCCCCTTTTTTGCCAGCAGCTAATCCAATTCCCTTGAAGCACATGCCTCACCGTAAGCTATATGTATCAGGCATAGTTGTTCACCCAAGTGTGTCAGGCTTATACCATGATTCTACAGCAGCAGCAGCAGCTTTCGTTTGTTCGTTCCATTTCACCAGACCTCTAACTTTCTACTTTGGTAAATTGGAGGCAGCTTTCTTCTGGTCCAGCCTTACTGGGGCCTTTTTTGACACTTATCATGTCTGTTTATCTGCTAGTGGTAGGACAATTTGCCTTGCATGGCAACCACAGATCCTGATAACCTCTGTGATGAGTAGACTCACTGTGACAGTAGACCACAGGATGTGGATAAAAAGGACTCCAAAAGAGGGGGGGGGGGAAATCACATTCCAGATGCTCACACAGTGCAGAGAGACCAGATAGTGGGGTGGCTCTGCCGCTTTGATCATGCGCCTCTTAACGGCTCTATTTTACTTCCACATGTCACTACTAAATTACACTGCCTAAGAGGGCTTTAACAGGGACGAGCTTGTATGAACACTGTAGCAGCGTCTCTGCTTTGATCTCGCAGCCTTGTGCCTGTTAGCCCCTTTTCTTTTAAACAGATAGATAACAGAATCCCCTTAGCCCAGGTTAGTTGTTTGCTCCTTGTTTGTTGCAGTGTTTACGGCTAACAGCTTAGGTATTCCAGAGTTTAATCTGTTGTCAGTCGACTTTCCCTTACGATGTGTCTGTTTATTGATAATTGATAGAAAAGGCTTTTACTTGCTACAAGAAATCCACAGGAGGTGTAGGGTATCATTTGCCATCTTACTCCACCTTGACCTGTTCATGTTGAAACTCTTCATCAAGGCCAGGACCATCATACATAAGTAGTAAATTGTTTTTCCTGCAGTGCTCGGGCCATCAAAGCTATATAAGCTTTTTTAGCTGCTCAATTCTTTATGAGGGGAGTCAGGCAAACAGTGTAGGTTAAACCCCTTTTCATGTGTGCCTGTGGAATATTAAAGAGGCTCAGACTCGCCTGGTGGAGTCAGGAAGCTGATGTCCTTGGGTGGCATGTAAGGAGCATCAGTGAGCTTTGTCCTTTTGGGAGCTTGTTTTGGCTCGGTTGTGTATTAAATAGTCAGTGAAGTTGATTTGTTTGCAGCTGTCATCATTTTTGTTTTTATCTGCTTTTGTATGAAACTCTGGCTTTGTGGGGCTTGGGAGCCTGCTCACCTTACTTGGATTGAAACCATCCTATCAAACGTAACCTTTACAACTGCAGGGCTTGTAAAGATAGTACCATCTCTTAAGTAGAGTCAAGGTAACTCAGTACAACTCATTCCCACTGAACATCACTTGGATAAATGTCACATTTTCTAAATGAAAACTTCTTTCTTAACATACGACTATTAATCCAGTACTGTTCCTCAAGCCTTGGGCTCAGTTAAGGCTCAGTGAAACATTCATTAGCCTCTATGTCTTTCCTTTGCATAAACTTGGGCCCCAAGAACAGGAAGGAGTGACTGCTTCACCAGTCTCTTCCGGCATCTTTCCAGTGAGTGCAGCATTTTCTCTGGCTTTACTGCAGGGCCCAAAACTGGGACCATTTGTTCTGACCAACGTGACGACTTGTAAGCTTTTCTTGGCTCAGAAAAGCAGCTTAAGGGACTTGATCTTTGGTCTAGTGAGCCCAGCTAGAGCACACACACGTGCTGGGGCCATCTCCCCCACCCCCCCCAAAGCCACCCGGTGCTAGTCCTTAATAGCATAGCTTGACTTTGGCTTAGCTAACAACGATGTCAGAGGACGTGAATGTAATTGGCAGGCTGATGGGATGAGCACAGGGATAGGTTAAATACACCTGACTAAGGGTAGCCTTGAGTAGCACGCAAGCCTGATCTAAACTCCCACTATGTCGGCATGACTGCAGTGAGCATTTCCTCCCTGTGATTAACACAACAAGACGTGGGCCAGTATGGAGGGAGAAGGAGTAACCACAAACAGTCAGAAGTAGGAATGGGAATCCCCATAATACGATACTTGGGCCACAATATGATATTATTGCGATTTTTAACATTTTGCAATACAATGAGTATAGCGATACAATATATTGCGATTTAAACATTTTTTCAACTGTTTAACTAATTTAGCATTTGTCCTTCCTTTATGTTTGTCTTATTTACACTGTATTTTATTTTCATGTAGCACATTTCGCAAACCTTTTATATTTGTTGTACTAACTTTCTCCTGCTCTGTGATGTCACCTCTGCCAACCTCAGTGGACAAATTTATTTTATTTTTCCATTATCATAGATTTGACTTCATGTTAACAATTAATCTGAAAAAAATCGGTACTTGGTCAGTGAGACAATACGATACATCACCAGACAAAACATTGCGATAATGCGCTGTATGGATTTTTTTCTACCACCCCTAGTCAGAAGGTGATCGATTGTGGTTGTAACTACCAGTGGTCTGATCTTTAAACCTGAGTGGCAGCTGTCCTGCTATAATAAGGAGATTTGAAGTAAGGTTTGTTAACACTGTAGTGAAAACACATTGTCTAAGCTTTAAAGAACAGGAAAGCACCTTTGAGTCAGGAAAAGATATCTGCACTTTCACTTAACTGAGGCTGATGAGGAGAGAATTACTCCTCATTGATTTATCTCTATTTATCTAACAGTGCTTGCCTGCTGGGTTGCCAGGCTTCTGACAGTAGAGAGTTTTTGTGGATTAGCTCTCTCCAAGGGCTAGACACATGCCTTTTAAAGAGAGCCAACTGCCAACAACAAGAAATTAAAAAATCCATAGCCCTAAAGACAAACACGGTTGATTAAATAGACCAGGCCCAAACTACCTAATGTGCCAAATCTGTCCAAAAAGCACTGAGGACAAAAGGAACAAGGCACTGACTTGAAAATGTGACTTGGCAAGAGCTTTTGCAATGTTGCAGCCTGTTAAAACATGCCTCACACTTCCTGTGGATGCTTTAAGCAGTGACGCCCTCTTTATGTAAAGAACTGAGCATTTCAGTTACAGCTCTCTGGACTGGCATCCCAACTGGCTTCCTGTCAGATTGTTGAGGAAAATGTCGAATGAGAGGCCTCAGAAGTGTATCTCCTCACAGATGCTCTGCTGCAGGCAGGTGTAAAAAGGCACCTCACAGGGGATCACAAGTCTGCACTCGAAGGCTCAACCATCACTCCAGCCTAGTCTCGCTTTTTTGACCCTTGACTTGTGTCATCTTGGCGCCTTTTTGTTGTGCCCTTATCCTGCAAAAGTGCATGGCCACAGCAATCTGTGAGAGGACGGTGCAATCAAACAGGACAAGGCTGAATGAGCATATGGGCTTAGTCAGCAAGCTTAAGACGGCCGTCCAGGCTTACTTTTATTCTGAATGACAGAAACAGGAGGACTTGCACTTTTCCTGATTTGAGATTAATCAACCTGAAGTAAAGGCTGTATGTTCAGGCTGTTCTCCTTTGATTTGCTAAGTGCGCAGTTCCTGTTAGCCAGCCCGTGCCATTAACAACATGTTGGAAAGGCTGAGAAGCCGAGCCTGTGCTTACATACTGTTCCAGGACAAAACGCTCGTCTTCTCCTTCCTGCTCCTGAAGCAGTGTGTGTGTCACGTGAGCAGCCAAGCTAACCTAATCTGTACCTTAAGGAAGGAGAGATGAAGATAGAATGAGGGAAAATAGGATGTTTGTTGAATACACAAGACAGACGCAATTAGACTAAATCTGACTACCACTTCTATTTTTAGACATCCAGCTGGGGAAAAAGGGGAAAACACCACCGCCTCCTGACCAATCATAGAGGTTAGCTTTGCGCCAATGAGCGCTGTGAGATGAGGACAAGTCCCCTCCCCATACACTCCCAATATCTACCTCACATGCTCTGTAATTTAGGGCGCACACTGAAGGTCATTATTTGCCATTTCTGTGTTGAGACCTTTACCTGGGTGGAATGTGCCAACTGGGTTAAGTGACTTAGCAAGTGAGCGAGTATAACTGAGGTGAGAGAGAGACAGCCAGTGTGTGCCTCTATCTGCTCGGCCACTTTAGTCAGTGTGTGTGTGTGTGTGTGTGTGTGTGTGTGTGTGTGTGTGTGTGTGTGTGTGTGTGTGTGTGTGTGTGTGTGTGTGTGTGTGTGTGTGTGTGTGTGTGTGCGTTAAAGGTTGATTTAGATGATTTGGACCCTACCCCACCCTGTTTTGGACATGTATTAAAAAGGCATCCAAAGCTGAAAAGAGGACATGGTCTGATGGGACAGACCCCTCCCGGCTGCACCCTACACCAACATCTGGCTGGATCTCCCAAGCTTTACACTATAGGCACATTTTTAGGAGTCAAGCCATATTGGAGTGTTAATCCGGACTCCCAGAGTCACACAGGGCAAAAGGGGAACATGAGAGTTTCAAGTGGGTCAGGGTGGGACATCAAGTTGGATGAATGAAGTGGATAGATAGAATCCTGGATAAACAGTAGATTAATGCACTGACAGTGGAGTTCGTGCAGGTCAGTTGTTTCACTGATTGACTTTGCTGACAAAATATAACACCAACATGCTTCCAACATTGTCGGACATGACTGATGGATTTGGATTAATACAGTCCAGCCACATGATGGGAGACTTGAGATGATGGTGGATTGACTACTTAGCTAGTTTGACTCCAAAGTGGTGTGACTGATGTCGAATCAACCTAAAGGCATGTTCTCTCCTCCATCTCTACCCCTCTACCCCACCCTTCTTCACTCTGTTTCTATGCTGCTATCTCTTTGTCTCTTCCCTACTTTATTTTTTTTCTCTCTTTCTCTCAACCTTTGTCAGTGGAGCAGATTAAAAGGCAGTGTGCACGTGTGAACTAATCCGTGTGTTAGTGATGGGCTTCAGCCCCAGAGTCTCTTGGCCCTGCCACACAGCCAGCAACCCCCCTGCTATCCCCTCCCACTCTTGCCTCCTCTCTACTCGAATGAACTCCGCATGTGTGTATGTGCGTATGAGCACGTGTTTGTCTGTGGCTGCTGTCGGAGGAGGGCAAATCGCTGCACTATTCTTTCATCCTGATCATTTCAAAACAAACTTTTCCTCTGCTACTACTCCTCCGTCGCCTCTGTTTCCACTTTTCCCAATCTGTCCTCCTCAGTCCTTCCTCTGCACTGTTGCTATGCGTCATGGCAGATGCTGTTAATGGCTTCATCAGGTTTAGCATGACAACTGCTTTGTTATGTGTAGTAGTCAACTGTTGTCTAAGCAGAGGAGTGTCCCTTTGAACCCAAGAGGATTTTTGATCTCCTATTTGAATTTAATGGCCCCCAAATTCCAGTGTGGTCTTTCAGACCTGGGTCCGTGAAAACTTTACGAAGCTTTTTTAACCAATTGGAAGGATTCTCTCTCTCTCCTACACACTCTCTGAATCTCTTTTTGGGATTGAGGTCACAACTGCCTAAACGCTCAGACGTATCAAAGTCCCTTTCTCACCCACTCACATGAAGCCGTGCATTTTTTACCCTCTCTGCACTTCCCTTTTTTTCGCTAAATATGGGTCATCATGCTGCAGAGTTCCCCAAAAATCTTGTTCATATTTTTTCAAATGTTTGAGACCCCCCCCCCTCCCCCAATAAAAAAAAAAAAAAAAAAACAGTTGCTTTGTGCAGGGAAGATGAGCATTCCCCTGTTTGCTGTTGGTTTGGAAAGTTGAGTCAAACCCTCTGTGAACAATTCGGATGGCCCAACAAAAGATGCAGCGCTTCATTCGACGCTCATCCACTTCATATTTGCAGGCATGTTTGAAGATAAAGAAGTTCAGATTAAGCAAACTTTTCTTACACTTGAGGTAGTTAGTCTTAGGAGCATTCCCCTGCTGTCACTGTCACAACAAAGACCTTACTATCTCAGGCTTAGTTCACTTATTCCTGCCTCCCTCCACTGAGGCTCCAAGAGTACAGCACAGCTCTTAATCTTTTAGGGGTTAAGGGTGAAATTTCCTCTGCGGCCACCCATGCATAACATATGCACACCGTGTAGATGCTGGATGACAGCTAGGAAACATGCATGTGTGCCGCGTGTTTTCGGTTATAGTCACGCTGGTATAAAAATTTGATTCAGAACTTGAAACAAGCAAGTAGATTTGAGTCACTCCCCCGTTGCGAAACCCAGCGGAACTCCTGACAGTCTGGCTCTGGTTTGTGCCCATGGCTAGTTTCTGGGCAGATTACACAGACAGACAGAACCCTCCCTTTCCTCCCCCACTCCTCTCTATATCTCTCACCCTTTCTATCTCTCTCTGACTCTCTGCATCTATCCCATCTGTCCGTGTTTCATAAAGGAGATGAGGGAAGCATCAGTCTGTCAGGAAAAAAAAGAGAGAGCCTACAATTGCCGCAGGGCAAAGATTGTTCTAATCTCATGTGCGTGTGGAAACGTGACAGACTGACTGACGCATCATCAGCGGACAAACAAGGAAAAAAAAAAAACAACTTTCAGCACACTTACTCAAATGTACAGCTACAGCCTTCAGGGATGTCATTTCAAGTCCCAACTTTTCTCGGCTTTAGCATTAATGGCACAGTTTGATGTAATGCCCAGACTAGAGTCAAAATGATACATATAGCATTAAAACATGAGTCAGAGATCACCTGCTATCTATTGGCTAATGCTATAACCATCTGTCCAATAATAAACCATGACTGTACAAGCAGAAGGGAAACCTAGAATAATGATTCCACCTCCCCAATCTAGAGCCATTCAACATAAAAGCATGTCTCCATCTGCACTTGTCATTTCCTGAACCTGCCATTTATAGCTCACATAATAAAGCCGGAGTTGGCTTAAGCACATAAGGTAGGCGCCAGTTCTGCAGCCAGCCTGTTTGTTGTTTGATGACTGTTCCAGCAGTCAACCTAGTGAGTGGTAGTTTCCCCTTGTGAAAGGAGAAAAAAAAACCTATTCAGTCAGGTGCCACTGTCTGTATGGATAAACATGTGACCTCGCTCGCAACCCTACAGCAGTCATGTGAGAGAAGGAGGGAGAGAATGACCCCCCCCACACACACAACCACAACCCTGTGTGAAAGAGAGAATGGGAAAAAATGAAAGACACAGTGGGATAAAAACAGAGAATCCTAGGAGAAGTATCTTTAGCAGAAAAAAAAAACACAACAAGCCTGCTCTTTGTGTTCACTCAGCAGCCAGTAAACAAAGGTAGAGAGAGCAAACACAGACAGAGAGAGCTGTTGTTTCTTGTAGTCTGGAGTTTGTTTCTGTAACTTATAGATGCCAGCTTGTACGGATGAAAGCATCTATGCCTAATACCCACATAAGATGCATGAAGCTTTGCTGGTAGTTAAGAATTAATTAATTAATGATTGATTTACCCCAATTGGATTGATTCCTTTTTCAATTTTCCACTCTTGCCATCGCACCAGAGCATCATGGGGGACAAATGTATAGGCTGTCATGCGGATTGAGTAGTCCCGCCCCCCTCCATCTATATTGAATGCCACCATCTGCAGAGCATGGATCAGTGTGCCACATGTTCACATGTTGTTTCACCATGTATGATCAGAGACGAGTAGCATGCGATCTGGATGGGGATCATTTCAGCCACCAGGATCTCCTGTGGGCTATTTTTAACCATGTAATCATGGATTTGGATGAGTTTGGAAAATTATGTTTAAAGCACAAACTGTAAAAAAAAAAAAGAAAAAAAACCCACCGTGCCCACATTGTCTGCACTTGATTTAATTACCAGTCTCTTCATTGTGAGATAATTCACTGCTGATTTGATGTAGCGCTCAACAGACAAGGCTTAGTCAAATTTCAATGAGGCTTTGCAATACAGAATTCTCTTAATCACGGCAATAATCTTTGACACGGCTGTGAATCAGGATTCACGGCTGCTTTAAATGAGCTCTGACACAGGAGAAGGAGCATAGCAACAGAGGAAAATAAAGAACTCTGCCTTAATTTCCTCTCACATGTCAATTGAGGAGATTGACCACTGAGACGGTCATTGGTGATGTGTAATTAGTGTAATAACTGGGTGAAGGGTCAGATCTCCTCCCCCTCTGCATGTATTAGAAGTAGGTCAAATGGGAAGGGAATGTGTATGTCAAATGGGTTCGAGGGAGCGTGGGATCGGCTAAACTAAGTGAAGGGTATTGACTAGTATCTGGGGTGGAAATCTGACCCTCCCTTTAAGAGCACATACAGTAATTATGTCAGACATCTTGGGCGGCCTGTGAAGTTATCTATTATTTACAGATTCACAAGTTTGGAATCTAGGACAGCCATCTTTTTTTTTTTCTTTTCTCATCGCCACTGCTACAGCTAACTGTGCTGGTTTCAGAAGCGTGAATGAGAAAGAAGCAGAAACTGCTGTAGCTGTATGAGGGCTGTTTTCAGGCTGTTTTTGTTTTCTGAAATACTATTCAGTCTGGGCCATTCTTCAGGCCCAGCTGTTCCATTGCCATTTTCCCCTACACAAAACATACTTGCATGCATATGCATTTCCCTTTTTTCAGCTACTCCCAATATTCACCCTCACAGGGAAACACTGTGTGTATGACTTAAACACAGGTCTATATGTTGAGCAGCAGGAAAGACTTGAAGAAAAACATCAAACTGTGGTGTCTGGATGGTTCCCTTATTACGTATTTTACACAGCAAACTTCTGATGTCTTTAGAATAACAAGCTGCACCCTAGCCAGGGAAGTCATGCATCCCACAGTTGGGTGAAAACAAGTGGAGCATTGAGGCAAAAAATGTATGATTGTTACTTCATGGAAATGGAATCAGACCAAAAATGATTATTATGATTATTTCTACAAGGAAATGATCTCGCTGATCGACTCGTCAAGGCTTTTTGCCGGAATATCCCTTTAAGCGTACACATATATCCAGGCATGCACCTATATTAGGAAGATGTGTAACCAAGAAGAGGAGAACAAAACGATCATTACCTGACAGAAAAGTTTGGAGAAGTATCCTCATAAGCAAATGTCGGTGATGTTCCTGAGTTTGACATGAGAATTCCAGCATTTGTGTTGACGTCGTTGTGGTTGAAAAAGCTTAATAGCGAAGTTTGACACTGTAAAAAATGAGTATCTATAATTTAGTATTTTAACAAGACTAAAGATATATTTAAAGAGGAATTCAGAAAACCTGCCGGGGAACATGTTTATACACAGCAGCCTGTTTACAACTTCCTCACTCTTCTGTTCACAGTGATACTTTTCAGAGACATCTGATATATTCAGGGCATAACTGTACTGATACTCTTGTCATTTAGAGTCACAGCTTGATTATTTCATTTCACCTGTTTTGTGTCACATTGAAAAAGTAAAAGGTTAGTTATCCATCGTTGGATCTAACACTGGTTTTTACACCCTGCAGACATATCAGATATCAAAACGTTGTGTGCGTGTGTGTGCGGGCGCGCATGTACAATGAGGTGCTCATGCATGCCCTTCAGTTGCTGTCCGAAGGCACATGCACTCAGCGTGTGCGTCTGTGTGTGAGAGAGAGAGAGATACAAGGGTGAGGAAGGTTGGGAGCTGATCTGTTGTTTGCCGCACAAACCAGTGATGTACGTATGATGTGCGTAGGCTCTGTAAGAGCTGTGGTAGGCACTATACCCATACCAAGAGAGAGAGCTTCAAAGTGCTTCTTTAAAAAGGACCGGGCTGCAGTCACACTGGAGGCAGTTTAGAAGCATTTTAGGCACAAGTGAAAAAGCTAGAGTGAGAGGGGGAGTAATAACAACAGATTTGTTGCAATCAAAGCTATCTAATCTACCTAACGTGACTGAACCATGTTTAGTACTTCTTAGGTTATCTTTATTTGACAGTATAGATGAAGCAGAACTTTGCACTTGGATTAAACTGGACTAAAGCAAGTGAAAATTTCTGCTGAAAGTTGAAGAATCAGGAAGGGAAGGTCCTGCACATGACTTAGTATATGAAGTAAGGATGAGAGGGGAGGGTGGGAGAGGAGGAGAGGTGTGGTGCAATGACCCAGGGCCACCTGGCTGCGCACTCACATGGCAAAGCCAAAAGGCAGAGCTGCCTGCCTGTGTACCCATCTGGGGCCCATCAGGAACACGAGCCACAGGGGCACACAGGAGCATGAAAGAGACACACATGCACACACACACACACACACATAGACACAGTGGTAGAGGGGAAGTGCCCCATTGTCTCAGGAGGAAAAGGAAGGCTGACTGCCTGTGATGTGCCTGCAAGCCATGCCGTTAGGATTGAACACACCTGAATACCCCTATTTTGAAGTGTTTGGTAGGATGATAAACCAATGAAGAGGGCAGATTCTGCTGAGTAACGCTGGGCCGACTTTATTTGAAATGCTAAACCTGTTACCAGACATTAGGACGCATTTTTGATTAAAAGAATTCTATGATCAAATGATGATTGGTCTTTACAATAGGGTGGGTGATATGGGCTAGAAATTTATCACAATAAGTTTTTCCATTCTGGCGCTAACGATAAAAGTTACAAAAAATATATATACAATTCCTATCTATGTTTTTGACTCATTCTGTCTTAAGAACACCACAGCCGTTGTTTGTGGATGGCACTTAGCAGTTGGCATAGTCAAATAAGATACTTAACCGCAAGTTTAAGAAAATTAGTGACATCAAACAATTCTAAAATGCAGAAACACTGTCAACATTTAATCAATACTCTTATTGCAAGTGAACAGCAGCAGCAGATCCCTGTCGGATGTCAGGCATACCTGAGAAGGAAAGTTTATCAAATCTATTGTGGCATGGCAAATATTCATTGTGGAGGATTTTTTTGATGATAATTTCTCGCCCATCCCTACTTCACATCATGACAAACAGTGCAGCGATCTGGTTCTGTATACAGCACTCGATTGTACAGTTACAAGCTGAAAATATATCCATGCTGGGAGTTCCAGGTAACTCTTATGAATAGGTGGGGGATCATCATCAGCAGATGTGGTTTTTCCCTTTGAATAGCCAGCTCCATTACACATCGATCTGTATCAACACTCCAGTCCACGGTAGCTCACTGCCACAGAAAGACATTTCAGGAGCATCTGTTTGCTAAGCTTTACCTGCAAGGCAACAACAAAGGAAAACACAAAGACATGAAGGAAAACACATTTGTATTGGCTGCTGGCCTCTCCAGGATTCACCCTCGACTGAATACAAGCAAAAACAAAGCTTTTCTGCAAGTGTTGTCTCGCACACGAGCAGCGTGGGATCGGATTCCTCCTGCTGTGCGTGACAGTTTGGAGCACAGGTCTTGTTAGCAACTGGCCACGTGTTATGTAATCCGCCACAGATGAAGAGCTCCTCATTCAGGCAACCTGCAGCTCACTGTGCCATTCATCGAACACTGGAAGTACATAGTTCAGATAATAGAAATGTATTCATGGGAATCTGCATCAAGAATTTGTCCATAATGTGAATTTTTTTTGATGATTTGTTGATCCTTTTCTTCTTTGAGCCACTTTCACTGTGTCTCTCTATATAAAATGTCATGTTTTTAGTATTTCCTTGAGTTTCTGTATCTCACTTTAGCACCTGCTAGCCAAAACATTTGTAAATTTTAAAAGTCATAAATCAAAATTGTTTGGCTGAACACAACGCTTGCTAACTTACAGCTCTGCCAGCAGTGCAGAAAGTGATGCCTCATCCTCAGCCACATTAGCGGCAACCTACCACCACCACCTGTCACCCATGACATCACTTCCTCTAACCAGGTTTACTTAACCAAGTGGTTCTCAAGTCCAGTCCTCGAGCCTCCCCTGTCCTGCATGTTTTGGATGTTTCCCTGCTCCAACACACCTGATTCAAATGATCAGCTCGTTATTAAGCCATTACAGAGCTTGATAACGAGCTGATCATTTGAATCAGGTGTGTTGAAGCAGGGAAACATCCAAAACATGCAGGACAGGGGGGGCTCGAGGACTGGACTTGAGAACCACTTACTTAACCAATCCTTAGTCTCACAATCCAAGGACATGGAGATATGAGGCTGCACAGTAAATCCATGGCTCCTTATACAAGAAGCACTGGTCTTTTCGAAGAACTCCAGGTAATATCCAGCCCTGTTGCCGGTTGCCGTTTTACACAAGGGTGGAGGCAAACCCGAGCTCTGGCTGAAACCTGCAGGTATTTATGGTCTACAAGCTACCACTCATATTGTAAGCTGCAAACGGCTTAAGCTCTTTGGCTGTTAGGTGGGCTTGAAAACAAGTCTTTCCCAAGGATTACAGACCTTTCTTGGAAGCATCACTAGTAGCTTATGACCTTTAACCCTTTAGTGAAACAGTAAGAGATAATGTCAGTGGTTCAGACTCACATGATAACCCCGTCTCCATGGTTATCTGTAGGTGCCTGTAGGGTAATTTTCAGTTGATTTATTCTCCTGAAAAGACTGAGGAATAAAGAGCATCAGTTTGACTTCCCTTTAGTAGACACTCCAGCGTGATAACTGTGATGCCCCCCACCCTCCTTGCAGTCACAAGCTGTCCTCCAGACACTCCCTCCTGTGCTTTTAGGGGCTCTCCTGCCTTCTGCAGTTATCAGAGTGCTCCGCTGTAGAGCACATCATGCACCCAGAGATTAGGGCAAATGTCAGGCACAAGTTTCACATGTCTGTCTATCAATAAGAGGCACAGCAAGGGTGTTTGAGTGCTGCCAGCCAGGGAGTAGCATGTGTCTCTGTAAGAGGAGATCACACAGTACATACGGTAACTGCAGAAAGGACAGAACCAGGACTGAGTGTGCTGCCGGGTGTAGGTGATAGCATGGCAGACTCCTTTTACTTTCCCTTTCTTCCTCCTCATCATCATCATCATCATTGAGGGGGTGTTACATGGTTTCATGCTGACTCTGCAAAAAGTGGATGATCTGCAGCCCAGAGCAATCATGGGACGTTTTGATCATCACCAGGCAAAGGTTTGAAAGATGGTGCAGTGCTAGTGGGGTCATGATACCCTCAGCTTCCTCTTTCATTCCTCCTGTCAGTTTGGGGCATAGTAGACAGGAGGGCGGGACACACAGGAGTGGTGGCACGCAGGGTTATCTGAGATCGTCTGAAATTGTTATAATCTCAATGGGAGTGGAAGAAAAAAGATACTGGCCTCCGATGTCTGGAATATGTTAACTCCACGCCTGCCATGCAGACAGACACACGCCTACACAACATCGTGTGTGTGTGTGTGTGTGTGTGTGTCCTGCTCTGCCCTCTTTGCCTTCTTTATCAGGCACTTCATGCAAGAAGGTATTCTAACTGAACACACACACATGCATCAGAAAAATTCAAGTTTTAGGATCCAAGCTGGGCTGTGCATGAGGAAGAATGTGTGTGTTTTTCTGTCATGTGATGAGAAATACACAGTCTGAGTGTCAGCCTGCTGCACAATAAATAATTCACTGGCATATCAGGGATAATGAAATATTCCGTATACGTGGCCTACTTCAATTGAGATGGTTATTGGTGAACATGGCAAATTGCAGAAAATTCCACTTAATCCCTATTTTCCAAGTGATGTAGTTCTAATCTTAATTTCAGTGCCAAATAAAACAGTCAACATCGGAAGCTGAGACTAGAGCTGCATGATTAATCGACTTTAAATCGTAATCAGATTATTTGATTATGAGGATGTTAAAAAAAATTAAAATCGTCAAATCAATTTACCTCTCTATCATGTCTCGCACCTCCAAGCCACCGCAGGCTCCCCCTTCTTGCGGAATGCTCCACAGTTCCCACACACACCAGTGTAAACAAACATTTACAAGTTTGCAAAAGAAGGAGATAATTTCTTTTATATATCCGGCCAAACCAACCTTTATACACGCGCTCCGTGCTCTTCTCTCATTTGTGCCTTTGCGTTGAAGCGTTATAGCGCCACTTACTGGCTTGGCATATGCCCTAAATTGATTTCAGTGGTTTTGTTTTGAGGCATGATCGAAAAACTTTTTGCTAAGGTAAAGTTGAATAAAAAGTTTAAATCGAGGAAAAGAGTTCTCAGAGAGAAAAATCAGGATTTTATTTCTGGTCAAAATCGTATAGCCATAACTGAGACAGATATCCTCTCATGCTGTCCTCTCCTGAGACGCCTCCCAGGTGGAGCTGCGGATTTCCCCCAGGCTGCTGCCGCTGCTGCAAAAGAGGAGAATGTGATTAATTGCCAGCTGATATCTGTGTTTGTGCATGTGTGTATAAGTGTGTATAAGTGTGTGTGTGTGTGGAGACAAACACAGATAGACTCCGATAAAAAGCTGAGCTCTCTCCTGAGAATAGAACTGATTACACATACAGATGACCTCCTGACTGATGGTTATCATCACATTTCAGCCCAGACTGAAAAGGTTTTACCTGTTCTGTGACTCCCTCACTTTGATCACTACAGACTGAATCAGGACACCACCTCTTCTTTACCTCCCCCCAGACGTGCAGCACTTGCCTTGTTAACGTTGTTTAAGCATACATACTCACACTTCCTACACTGGTGTAATGGCTCGCCCTGCTCTCGTGTTTTTATCAGCAGCATCCATGCATAGCTGAGCCTCCCCTCTTCACACACACGCCGACACACACTGACAGATACACTCCAGCAGGCGCTCACACGTCTCCACCAGTCTTAAAGCAGCAGAGCGTAGTATGGAGCTGTCTAGCCTGGCGTAATCAGTGCAGAGAATTCCTGCTCTGGTCTCCTGAGTTTGTCCCCTTCGGGCACTCCTTGGAGAGAGTTCCTGAGTCTGGGTTGCTCCACTGAGTCCACTGACTCTTAAATTCTCTCCACTGCTCCCTTCAGGCAAGCTGAAAGGGCAGCTCCTGCTAATGGAGCACTGATTGTGTTATAGCCACAATTATCTCTCTTTACCTCTCAACTCTGAGCCATTAGCAGGATAGATAGTTCCCCGGGCCTGTCTGCAGTCATAGAATAAGGGACTGTCAGGATGATGGAGCATAAGAGCCAAGCAAGGTCCAATACACCTTTCTTCCCTGAACTACACAACCCCACCCCAACCCCCAGCCCCCGAAGGAAACTTGTTGTTGGTCATGTAGGCGAGGAAGGTAACTAAAGCTGGGTGCAACAAATACCAGCGAAGGATAATGTATCATCTCAAGGCTTAAACGAGACGTGATTCATATGTAGCCTGCTGTGTGGCTGGACTATAAGCCTGGGATTTCAAATACATGAGCCTGGTCTATAGCTGGTGAATTCTTACAAAGTAAGACTACACTCTGTTATAATGAGCCGACATCCCACAGGATACTGCTTTTATTATGGTGGCAGGGTAAAGGACAGGGTTGGTGAAGACAAATCCACGCTGGGATAGTTGAGTTGCTTTTTGTTTGGCCTGGTGTAGCTGTGTTTCAACCAGTCTGATGTGAAAAGTGACAACAAAAATAGGATTTGATAACCTCGGGGGCTGAGGAGCAAGGGGGAAATAGTAGGGGTTGGAGAAAAAGTAGATACAGCATAGTATTGCAATGTATTTTCTGGTGATACATTGTATCGTCTCATTGACCAAGTATTGATTTTTTCAAATTAACTGCTAATATAAAGTCAAACCCTTGATAATGGAAAAGCACCTAGGGAAAGATATTAGGAATGCAAGCAGTGCACAAATGAGATGGACCTGACACATGAGGTTTGCAAGATGTGCTGCATGAAAATAAAATACTGTGTAAATAAGACAAACATAACGGAAAGCCAAATACTAAATTTGCTAAACAGTTGGAAAAATTGTATTATCGCAATATATTGTATCACAATACTCACTGTATTGCAAAATGTTAAAAATCTCAATAATATCCTATCGTGGCCCAAGTATCGTGATAGTATCGTATTGTGGCCCAAGTATCATGATGATATCGCACCGTGGCCCAAGTACATGTAATCTGTTTAAACACAATCTGCCAGAGTAATATCCAATTTGCTGTTGAGCACCAGCATCATGTGAAATATTTCCCAACACAGAACACTTCCTGTCACGTGTCTAATATGTCTTCCTCTGTCTTTCCTCTGCAGACGAGCTCACCTTCGCCTGTGTTTGGAGCGGTTGAAGGCCCTCATACCCCTGGGACCTGACTGCAACCGCCACACCACCCTGGGCCTGCTCAACAAAGCCAAAGCACACATAAAGGTAAGAATCAGCAGCCCGCACAAATCTGAGTCTGGTGACACACGCTCCAAAAGTTTTGAACAAGCTAACTGTGCAGAGATAAAAACCAGATAATGATGTGTTGAGTTGCCGATGGTATTTTATCGTTTTGACCTTTTCTGCCTGATTCGACTGCCTTCTGCTGGGATCAGTCCTTACAGGTCATTTATTTGCGTTGCTGTAGACATAGGGATGCCATGGCTTCAATAATTATAAGATGAGAGTGTATTAGGTTATTGACTCCAGTGTGCATTTTGATTGCAATTTTAATCAGCAGCAATGCATTACAGAGCCAAAATGCATCCTTTCATGGCAGTAAATCAGCAGTGATGTGATTCGCTTTAGAATATTTGTTTTGTCAAGTGTTGAAGAGATGTCTTTTCTTTCATTCTGTCGGTCCACTTTAGTACTTACTGACATGGGATCTTGTGTTTGCCCTAATTGTAGTTGTACATTGTTATTATCACCAGTATCCAGCTGGTCACCAGTGCCTGATTTGAAGAGCGTGTAACACATTCCGACATCCTGCTTCACGCTTTGGCCTCCACTTTAAAGAAAACAGGCATGTGACTGCCTGAGATTGAGCAGTCTGTGTGTGAACAGCCTGGTGTAGCGAGTACTCACGTAACGGGGGGGGGGGGGGGGGGGGGGGGGGATAAAGCTGGTATTGTTGTCATGCCCCCCCCCCCCCCACTACTTCCCATTACTACTGTCACCACTGTGCACTTCTGCTGCTGTCAAGTTGAGTCTCTCTGTCGCTTATTGATGGCCTATTGTTTGGTCCGCTGGCGAGAGTCACGCTTGTCACCGTCAGCGAGCGTGACACAAGGCTACAAGGTTAAGAGCATAACATGGCTGTATCAGTCCTTACCACAGCAGCCCCTCGCTCATTTTGATACAAGAGAAGGTGAAGACGGTGAGGAGTGTAAACAAGGCAGGTGAGGGGGATCAGCGAGGAGGTAAAACCAGTGAACTGGCTGAATACTGAAACAGACCAGGGGAGTTTTTGTTAGTGGATCTTAAAGGAGTTTCCTTACAGACTGAGAACATCTACATTCAGTATCTCTCACTGCTGGTGAGGTTGTCATTCCTGCTCAGCTCCCTGTTCTCTTATCTCTTCTGTCTGTCTTTATTCTCCCGCTCTCACATGCTACTCATGTGTCTTACATTTTTATTCAGTTCACTCTTGATGGCCTCTCCTCTCACACACTCTGAAAGTAAAATCTCACTCTGCTCCTTAACACTCATAATTCACCTTTGCTGCATTCCTCTCTCCTCTGACAGAAACTTGAAGAGACGGACAGGAAGAGCCAGTACCAGCTGGAGTCTCTGGAGCGCGAGCAGAGGCACCTCCAGCGACAGCTGGAGCTACTGAGGGGAGGCAGCGGGGCTGCAGCCCAGAGCAGCCCAGGGGAGGGAGAGAGGATACGCATGGACAGTGTGGGCTCCACCCTCTGCTCCGACCGCTCTGACTCTGACCAAGGTGAGTGTGGCCAAACTCTTTGAACAGGAGTTTAATTTTGCAACTCCAAAGCCTCCAACTGCTCTGACAGATTTGATGACTTTGAGGTTGTGGCATTAGGGCTGCTCTGGGACTCTGTGAATTGAGGTGTTCCTGAAAATAATCAACAAATATTTCCAGGACAGAAGCTCAAACACTCCTCAAAGGGTTTTAAAGTGCATTACAATCCCAGAGCAGCATTTGAATCAACTCACAGCAAGTTATTGAAGCCAGTTTCAGTTTATTTTTTCATTCCAGTCTGACTCTAATCAGTAAAGATGAGTCACTTTAAATACTGAATTCTGCAGTAAAACAATTGAAAAAGTACAATAGAAATCATAACCCTGACCGTTAGATGAAATATGCTGTTGAATTTGATACCTGCTAATATTGTACTGCAAAGATTCAGAAACACAAAGGCTTACTGTTACTGATCATTTTTGCTAAAACAACAAAAGTAAAGGTAATTGGAACTAAAAGATAAGAACATTTTCAAAAACTAGTGCACATGAAATACTGATGAGTTCCATCATCAGAGTAGGGTGCATATCTTGTTTTGACCTTCTCCCTGACCCTCCTCTCTTCCTCCCCCATCTTTTCTCCCTGATCTGCAGAGGAGATCGAGGTGGACGTGGAAAGCACGGAGTTCTCCCATGGAGAGCTGGACAGCGTCAGCACAGCCAGCACCAGCGACCTGGACGACCACAGCAGCCTGCAGAGCATGGCCAGCGATGAGGGCTACTCCTCCTGCAGTGTCAAACTTGCCTTCTCCTCCTAGAGCCCCACACCACCTCCCTGCCAAACCTGCCTGCCCTCCTGTCAGTTAATCCAAGGAGCCACGCCTACATACATATACCCAGTCACCACCAACGGAGGCCACGCCCACAGCTGATGGCGTTCCTGTTGCTCCAACCTCCCAGCAGCACCTCCTCCTGCTCCAAGCCTTTAGTTCCCTCCTCTTCCTCCTCCTGTTCCCCTGTGCTGCTGATTGAGGAGTTCCTTCTCAATTCTGAACATTGCGCTGCCCAACCAACACCCACACCAGGACCCCAACACAGTGATGTGAGACTGCCAGCTGATTTGAATCTCCTCACAGACTCTGTTGATTTTAAAGATATATAAATGTTGATTTTTTTAACCACAGATTTGAAAAAAGAATTTACCACTTTTGTTCCCTTCCTGTGAAAAGTCCGAATTTTAATATATACAACCCCTAAATTGACCCAAAATGCACTTAAACCCATGTGATCTTAAAATAATTTAGATCTTCTGTTTGGTTCCTCATTCTGTGGGTGTGTGTGTGCGCGCGTGTGTGTGTGTTTAGCTGAGACTGTGTATCCCATCTTAACCTTCTGGTGTTGGGTCTGGATAAACAGGAGCACATCCAATCTGGACTTGATTGAACATTGTGGGTGAACTTTGCCATATCGTTGCAGCTTGGCCCCGATAAACATCCCCTCAGCCCTGAATTGAATCCTTTGTCTTATGTTTTTTTTTTTCTTTTATTACCTCTGCTCCACACCGCAGAAGCTCGGACACTCGAACTGGTGCTATTGTGAAACAAACCCACGGGGGAAGCAAATCAGATCCACCGCCACTACGCTTGTAAAGCAAACAAAAGTGTGGCTGCCGTGACTGTTTCCAACTGAGCATGGAGGAAAACAACCACACCAACAAAGAAACAAAACAGGAGGAAAAACAGCATTCCTGTCAAATGTGGGTGCTCAGTGCTTTTACAAAGAGTGGAAGTTGTTTTTTGTGTGTGTCTTGTTTTGGTGTCTTCCCCCTCTCGACAAGCAGCTACAACAAGCTATCCTGCACTTGCCTACTATACAGCTGTCCATAGAAACGGCACAAACCAACAAGTCAAACTAATAAACCAACAACAGCTACAAGGAAAGAGTCCAAACAACAACAAACTTTGGATCAGGTGTCATCCTCTCTCCAGCAGTAACAAGCAATAACTCTTATAGTAGTTTTTGTCCCATTGGTTTGGACTCCTCATCGGGTTTTTTCTTTTCTTTTTCTCCTCTCCCCCTAAGACTGAGTGACCGTCCAAAAAGTCAATTTCCTTCTGTTTTTTTTTTTTGTACATACAAATAGTTTAATAAATTAAACTTTGAAAAGGAGATTTAAAAAAAGGTAGAGCTCATGGATAGAACTGTTGCCTCTGTTGCTGTTTGACCTGTGTTTATTGTGCATTTTCAAGTTTTCAGAGATTTTATCCTCTTCATAGTGGCAGCAAATGTGACACGGACACTCTCACTTTGTTCTGGAAACATTTGAAAGTTTCTTATCGTTGCTGCCCTTAGATGGAAAAAAAGAAAAGTTACTCTTCAATGTGTTTTAAAAAAATGTTAGAACAACTTCCCAACCAGAAAACAATCCAAATAGGACATCTGGTGGAGAACTCTGAGTTTGAGTGGCACTCTTTTTTTTTGAATTTTTTTATTTATTAGACTTTTTTTTTTCCTCTTGTTTGTTCATGTTCATGAGACGGGAGGGGAAGCTTTTGTGGCATTCCACTTTTGGTGGAAGTGTGAAGTGTGCTGGGAAGTTAAAAAAACGGGTGTTTTATGATGTCACTGTTCGCCATCCAAACTCCACTGGCATTAAGAATTGCACTTCAACCACACTTCTCTGTGTTTGATTTTCCTCTTTATCTCTCATCTATCCTGTTGTATGATGAAGGAAAGAAAACAGCTCCACCCTTTTAGATATTTATTTCTCAATCCCTCAAAGAACACAAGCAACAACAGGGAGAAAGAAGTTAACTTATTTTGGTTCTGTCTTATTTGACTCCTCTTTATCCACGCGTACTCCTCATTCCTTATTCTAAGAATTGTATATTTTATGGGTTATTGTTATTTTTCTGGGGTCGGGGAGGTTGGGAGGGGATATAAAATGTAGCCATTTTGTTTAAAAATTTTTCTGATGTTTTATTCAATGGACACTTGAAATGTAAGAGGCCCCTAAGCTGCTCCTAGTGCTGAGCCTTGCCTGTTTAGAGTCACCTGCCGTGACCGGAGCTGAGCCCCAGACAAACAGACCTAAAACAACAACTGCTTTGATTGGAGAAGAAAATCACTTTCCTCCACTCACAGCCCTCTGCTGCAGGTTGAAACACTTGCGCATAAATACTCCTGTCTGGTTGTTTTCGATGTCTGTGATAAAGGGGAAATATCTCCGCACAAGACTTAAGCGGCAGATCTTGAGCCAGCTACTACACAATAAAAGGGGTCTAAAGCTCCACTTTCCTCTGTTTTGAGGACTGTAGTAATCTCTATTAGACTTGTGTTTTAGTTGACAAAACGTGTCTTACCTTTACAACACAAGGCCTCCATGGAGGGTTTAAAGATAAAATTTTCAACAGAACAAATCCTTTGCTTTCTCAGAAGGGCATTTTTAAGTTAAAGAGTTTTGAGCTCTTTGTAAGCTGTGTCGAGGTTCTTGGACTTGGCTCTGAATCAAAAAGTCACCCCATGTGGTGCTTGATTTTAAAGAAGAAGAAGAAAAAAACGCCAAAACCACCTCAGAACACCTCAGTGTCCTCTCTCTCTCTCTCTTTCTCTCTCTCTCTCTCTCTCTCTCGCTCTATCTCTCTATCTCTCTCTCTCTCTCTTTGAGGGACAGTTTACATTTATTCCTCCCCCATATAAGTTATTAAAGTTACGTTTCTCTTTGTCTCTGTTTTTCATCTTCATATGTTGGTTTTATGAATCTGCATTGCTGACAGGAAGGAAAGAAAAGGTCCCATGTTTGACAACAATTGAATTTCACTCCTGGTTCAGACCTGGATCACATCCAGATGGTGTTTGACTACTTTAAGTAGAACTTGTACAACAAAAGGATGGTTCTGACAGTGTTGGGTTTCATTGTTCATCACAAAGAAATGTGTGAAAACTGACTGGAACTCATTGTCTTGTCTGGTGTGGCAAACATGTCTGAGCTTGTATTCCAAGAAGGGATAAAACAAACTATATGAACAGATTTTACTGAAGCCAGTTCTGTCCTCTGTCATGAGACGAGAGCGTTCACTGTGTGTGTGTGTGAGAGAGTGTGTGTTAGACAGATTATGTGTGAGCGTGTGTGTGTTCAGAGAGACATCTGGTCCATGATGTGACTGCTCTGATCTTAGCGGGCTGGTTGGAAAAGACAAGTCAGATGAGTAGAAGGCGTAAGTTTGATTGAGAAAGCTCTCTTCCATCCTTCTCAGTCATGGTTTGAGAACTGAACATGGAGTAAGTTTCGTGGTGAGTTCAGTGCAGACGCTTAATGGATCAGCCCGAGTTATTTTAGAGGTGTGACAGAGAGTTTCTGACTGTGCTGCAGATTCAACACAATACCATATCTTCATAAGCTGGTGATCACAAAGCTATATTTTTACCTCTGTGTTTCAGGTGAGGTTTAGACTTGCACCTGACTCTGGCTCAGGTCAGGGTTAACTCTACAGGAATGTTAAGTTCCAGTTTTGCAGCTTGGCCAGAAGTGTACCAGCTCGGACTAAGTGGAAATCACAGTGTCTTTTGTAAACCACACTCCATGCTGGCGTCAGTCTTACAGGAGGTTGACTTTTAGCCCATACAGATGAGTAGTCCCTCGTAGGGAGTCCTCCTGATGTTCTGAACCTGTGGCCATCCTTTGTGAAACTGATGATGATGATGATTCTACCGTGTAAGTTGAAGATGCAATACTTACAATAAAAACACAAGATTTTCAAACCTGATGGACTCGGCTCGCCTTTTGTTTTAAGACTTTTCTGCTATTGGACAAATCCCCACTGAACAAAACTGTTTTAAATACTATCCATGTACATTTGAAAAGGTGTTATTTTGTAGAGACTGATCAAACTGATACTCCAAAGTCTTCCAGGCCACTAAAGAAACTCAGTTTACACTTGTTTACTGGTATGAGATAAATCCAGTCATTTGGCATTTGTCTAAACACAATCTACAAAGAAACATAAATAAAGAAGGGCTGCAATGCCTACTGTTTGGCTTTATATTGTCCCTCTGGTTACTGTCTAGCCGCTTTACAAGATTTCTAGTTTAATGAATTCTTAACTAGTTCAGACTACTTTTTAAAACCCTCATCTCAGTCTCTGTCTGAGACGCTTTATTTAAGTCACTGTCTCTTTAAGCCCCCCCCCCCCCCCAAAAAAAAAAAAAAAAAAAAAAAAGATTCTGGAAGCCTCTTTCACTGCTGCCATGCTTTTTATAAAACAACTAATTCGCCCTTTAAAGTGATTCACTGTCTGGTGACATAATGATTTGAGAGAATCCCATATTAAAGGGATATTCTGGTGTAAAATTGACTTAGGGTCAGACACACTGTAATACTAAGTTAGACACCCCCTCAAGAGATGAATGTTGCGGACTTCTTGCTTCTCCAGTTATACCAACTTAGGTAATGACCGTACAATAGCAATACACAGCGGTCTACGTCTCAGAACAGCACCTAACTTCGTCAACAGTGCATATAGGGTCCCAGCCACAGCACTAGCCACCAAAACATCTTTTTAGCTCTGTCTGTTTTTTTAAGGAAAGAGACCAAACACAACTCACCCACTCTCCTCCAGCAGCCGCTTGTTTGTGGGGTAGCCCTGACAAGTCAATCACCGAGTGCAGCGGAGTTTCACAGTTTAAGGAAGAACATTTATGATTATTATTTCATGGAAATGCAATCAGACTGAGGCGCTTCTGCAATGCAAAATGATTATTATGAAGATTATTACTTCATGGAAGTGATCCGCTGCACTCTGTGATCGACTCGTCAGGGCTCCCCCCCAAACAAGCGGGGAGCCAGTACGTACTGTTGATGAAGTTAGGTACTGTTCTGAACATTATTTGTGGCTATAGAGTGGCTTTTTGGTTGAGGTTTGCACTTGGAGACGTAGTGTATTGTTATCTTACAGTCACTACTGAAGTTCGTATAACTGGAGGAGCAAGCAGTCAGCAACATTCATCTCTCAAGGGGGTGTCTAACTTAGTGTTACAGTGTGTTTGACCCAAAGTTAATTTCATGCCAGAACATCCCTTTAATCTCATTGTATTCTTGTGAGACATTTTGAACAAGTCATTCAAGCATCCTGTAGACCCATCTGGGTATTACTTAAACACACTTTAACCTTGCAATCTGAAAACTTTACGCATGTATAGAACTGACGTTCAGCATTTTAACTTAACATTTCTTTTCAAAGTAGTGACACCGGACTTTGTTAATGCTCTGTTGGTTTGCACGTGCATTTAATCTGTTGAAGCTCACATGATGCTCTCAGTGTTCAAAGCAGTCTTGTGGTTAGCGTTTAAGTTTTTTTTTTTCTTTTCTCCCCAAGTGATCACAGCTTGTGAAGATTGTCTACCTCTGATATACAGAAACCACATGAATCGACCACATCACACAGCAGAGACATAGACAGCGACACAACACCAACGTAACTCAATATAGAAAAGTCTTTAACCACAACCACTTCACACCACCTGACATTTCCAAATCAAAATGAACAAACACTGACTGAGAAGTGGAGTAAAAATAAAACTGCCTAAAGAAATTGTGTCACATTCTGAAGGTTAACTATTTTGTACGTAGGAAATATATTCAAAAAAAAAAAATAAAGATGAGTATAAATCATAAGAGAAAGTGGGAGTTGCTGAGGCTGGGGTATAATAGTTTTAAAAACGGAATAGATTAAATATATGAGCAGCATTTGAGCTGATGTATCATTATGTGGCCCCATAGTTAACCTTATAGCTGCGGTGAGACGCCTCCACTTCCTGTTTTATTCTGGTTCAACTTCCTGTTTTCCTTGCTACCCTGGTCTGGCTTGACTGATTTCAGAGCACGCTCCCTCCCCTCCTCGCTGAGGCTGAACGAGACTCCCCACCTGCGCTGCATCTACAATCAAGGCCCTTTAAGGAGCCTGCAGCCCTCAGTCTCAGCGTCTGAGTGTTGTCTTCACTCCTGAGCGGTACAGACGCTTCTCCTGGTCTTCTCCTCGGCTAGTGTTCGTGACTTTTGCTCCTTGTGAATCCTCGTATGACTTCTAACCTCATTCTCCTCTGTTTGTCCACAGTGTCTCCAGCCCACATAACAGTCAGCCAGCCAACCGGACTTTCCTCGTGCCTTTTACCCTGAGTTTTGGACATTAAAAAATACATCTTTAACTTGCTATCTTTCTCTGAGTCTGCTCCTGGGTCCACAAAATACACCACACGCCACAATAGCACTGTATCAGGAGGTCATGAATTATTGTTGCAGCCCATGAAAATCTGAATATCAAGAAAGTTTTTCTTTTATATAGTTACATTCAAAAAGGTAGACTTTCGTTTGTTATTTCTCTGTAAAGTGAAATATATTCTAAGCCCTTATTGTTTCAATTTTTTTGTTGCTTAGAAACTCAATATCTCAGATGATCATAACAAAATTTCCTAAAATCAATCAAAACAGGATGTGAAATACATTTTGAAATACGTTTTTGTATCCTTACTCAATGAGTTGATGCTCCTTGACAAAAATGTATGTATCTGTATTGTATGGTGTGGAGGTGATTGTTCACGAGCGCGACTGAGGTGTTACTAAAGCCCAGACTACTCTGATCAGCTCCTGTCTATTTTGGGGTCAGGGGTTTATCATCTTCCTCTCAACAAATACCCCACAGATTCTCCAAGAGTTTCACATCTTTCAAAGGTGTCTATCATGTCAAACAGTAATATCATGGTCACAAACGTTACTGTTGGCAGGAGTTTTGGCGTTGTGAGCATGAAGTATCCTAAAATCTCCTCGAACATGACTGTGCTGACTTCGGACTTGATTAAACACAGTGGGTGGACATAGCACATAGCAACCCAAAGCATCACACATGGCAAACATGTAATGAGTGTAAAATATGTTTCAATTCATCAAAACTGATAAATCTGAAAAGTCTGCATGATTTTCACCAGTGGTAGTTATTTCACATGTGGTTGGGTCAGGGATTTATATAATATTTTTTATTAAGAAAAGTAGTCCAAATATAAAGATAAAGGAAATCATTATGATCTTAGTTTACAGTTTTAGGCCAACGAAGCATACTGTCTGTACTTTACAAAGCTGCTGAGTCTATATTTTCCAGAGGAACTCTCAAATATCTGGACATTTTGCTACCAGCGCAGGATCAGCAGGAGGCGGCAGTACAGACTGAATTCTGCTGCCTCATAGAGGACAAAAACTGTCCATATCTATGGATGGCTGGTATTTCTATCCCTCTACTGTTCAAAATAAAAATGAAGAAACTCACCATGTGTACAAATACATTTTTGAATTTTTATTTTAATTGTATTTTATCAAGTAATAAGACTATAATAAGTGGAGTCTAGGTCAATTTTACTTCACTGTACAGTAGGGAAGTTTTATCATCTACAGTGGCTCACATATTTTCTGTTCATGAAGTGTGAAAGGGGAACAATTAAAGCAGTCAAGACACTGAGTAAATATATATTTTAGGCACTAATAGAGATATGCTGGAGATGGAAGAAAATCAAGTTGTAGATAACAAAATAACATAAAATGGAAACACTCAAGTACATGAAATAAGGTAATTAATAAAAAGCAAGAGTAAGGCCCTCAGTAAGTGAAAAAGAAAGCGGAAAACTTTTGAAATATATATAAGATTAATGATGGTAAAATGCCAATAAACAGTGCACATGATTGGAGTACTACAAAGTACATTACATCAAGAAACAATGGCTGTTACATCCACAGTATCAGCAATTATAATGTGAAGACAAACAGCCCATCATGGTACAAAATATAGAATACATAATAGACATAATGGAGAACTACATTCAGACTAAGGCTGCACATGGGCTGGGACTGAAAAAGATATGACACATGATATTGTCACAATATAGCCCAAAGAAATGAAAAACAGAATGTTTCACATGAGCCCCAACTTTCACTAGAAAATACACTTTCTATTAGAACAGCACAACAGGAAACATTATTTTTCAAGAGAAAGTTAAGGTCAACGCCAAAGGAAATGCTGGACGCAACCCTGTAGCGGCTGCTGGGCTTACCTTACAAGTTGCATTTTTAATTGATTTTATGTATTCTTTGTCTGTTTTCATGGCAAACACAATTGTTTCAAGTCTGTAGATGAACAATGCCACACTCAGAAAAGGTTTTGATACTTGACAGCACCAGTCTCAATAGTGTGATGTCACTTTTACAAATTCCATTGTTTATTGGTTGCCAAAACACAACTTACATTCCACTAGGGGGCACCAAAGGTCTGAAAAACACTGCATCAAATCGTCATAGATCAACCTTTATAAACACAGTAAAAAATAAAAAAAGAGGAAGGAAACATTTATCTAAATCACTTAAGTACAGAAAGCAACACTTTTATGAAGTTTATGGGTGTAATCAGCCAAGTCCTGCTGGTTACTATGAAAGAAAAAATCAAACTGACCAAAACCAGAGATTCAGTTTCAACTGGACAAGAAAAGTATAACTAAAAATGTGCGCTTGGCAGCAATAAACAATAACACCTGTTAGACAAGTGTGCGGTAATAAAAGTAAAGAATTGCAACAGCAGAAACTCCAAGACTCTTCTGCTCTGAAGCCATGCTGTTGTAAGTAAAGTATGCAAAGTCTTCTTCAGAAAAGCTATTATCAGGAATAGTACCTACTCTTAGATGTATAAAACATCCACGTTATGAGCACTTTTGCATCACCATACAATCACAGATCATGGCTTCTGACGCGAGCACTGATCCCTCACCTCTTTCGAGCCTTTGACACTGCATCCATGATTTCCAAAAGGACTGTTAGTTTGTGATTTGTCTCCTTGCCTCAGTCTGTTTAAATAGGCTTAAGGCTGGAGAAGTTGTCAGCATTTCTGGATCATGTTTATATGTGATTTACTTCTTTAAATTGAACTGTTTTAACCTGAAGTGACCAGCTGTGTTCATGGACAATAGTTTTTAGAGGACTGGATCTTTAGCTAATGCAGTGACTTCCACTACAGAGTCGTTTCAGTTTTCAATGCAGAGTTGTTGGTCTTCCGGTACTGGTTTTCTGCCTTATCCCTTTAGCGAACAGATTTCTCCAGATTCTGTGAATTTTTTATTGAACATTTTTCAGAAATTGTTTAACTATTCACTTATGCAGCTTGTCACAGGGTAGTAAACTTCTTCCTCAGCCTCTCTGGATTTTATCCCCTCATGTCACTGACCTGCTGCGAAATTTACTAAATAAATTGGAAGATGTTCCTCTCAATGTTTCCTTTTAGCTGTATTTTGTTGTGCCTTTTACAAAAATTTTCTATGTGTTGCTGGAACCGGATTTTGAACGAGTATAGATTTCACATGATACAACATAAATTTTTCTGTTTCAAAGCGTGCTATGTTCAAACTTTGCATTTTTTAAAATTACGAACA